GGTGATAATCCTTCAATTTGTACAAAAGAAAAAGATGTGTCAAGGTTTTTCTATGTCCACTAAAAGGGCAAATCAATTAATTTAGCAGAAGAAGATGTTTAAATGATTTTTTTTCCTTTTTAGCTCTAGGGGCCCTAGAAGTGGCAAATCAAATTTATTTGAACACATTTGATAACAATCTGTTTGGGAATGCTACAAACAAATGCTGGTGATCGTCCATCAATTAGTTCAGTAGAAAAAGCTGTTTATTACTTTAGCTTAAGCAGTCCCTTTAAGAGGCCATCAAATTAATATGACTTTGATAAAGACTTCCTGAAGAATGCTTTACACAAAGGTTGGTGATCATCACTCAATTAGTTCAATAGAAAAATATGTTTTAAGGTTTCTTTTTTAAGCTTTATTGTCCTCTAAAAGGGGCAAATCAAATTAGCATGAGAAAATTTGATACAAAAAACTACCTAAGAATAATGCAGACAAAGTTTGGTGATCATCCATCAATTAGTTATGTAGAAAAAGTTGTTTTAAGGGTCTTAACAGCCCTACACCCTTTTAAAGGGGCAAATCAAATTGATATGATCAAATTTGATTAAAGACTACCTAAGAATATTACAGACAAAGTTAAGTGATCATCCATCAATTTGTTCAGTAGAAGAAGACGATTATTGTTTCTTTTCCTTTCTTTTTTTAAGCTCTAGAGGCCCCTGAAGAGGACCAATCAAATCCCCCTTTGATACTTATAGTTCACCCTAAACCTTCGGATCGTATGACCTTAAAAGGTAAGGACTGAACAAAAACAAATTAAAAGCTTACATTACCTTTAGAAATGCGCTCCACTAATGAACATGAATGTCTAAGTTTGAATTTATTTACTTTGACAGTCATTGAGAAATTGATCTTAGCGAAGAAAAACTTTATATAGGTACTTTTGATAGAATTTTAGAATATAGTCTGATTTAATTGACCTGTCAATTTTGAATACATTATAGCACTCATTTAAATATTCGATTTCACTTCGGTTCTGTCCGTGTAGTTTACGAGAATTAATATTGAGTAAATAACTAAGGTTTTGAAAAGTCACACCAGCTTAATGCATATGCCTTGTCAAATCCGCGATAGCCGAGACGGTAGAGTGATTGTCAAATATATTAGGGGTCTGTAGTTCGTTCCCTACTTTTGCCATTGTTTTAAGGCCTACTCTTTGTCTTTATTTTTTCAGTATATTTTCATGGAAATGGCCGCGTGCTTCAAATAGTGCCTCCACATATATGAATCAACTAAGAAACAATTCTCGATTTGTAATGTGTATTACGCCATTGAAATGACATTTTCTAATTTTCATCCGAATTATTTATAAATATTAATTCTGAAAGCGTATTGATTAAAACGAGATTAAAAGATTAAAAATTAATTGCTGAACATATTAAATCAAAACGAACAACATAACAAGCAATTATAGTTTCGATAATGTTGAAAATAGTTTTAATAAGGAAAAAAAAGAAAAAAAGTTGGAGAATTATAGTTTCGATAATGTTGAAAATAGTTTTAATAAGGAAAAAAAAGAAAAAAAAGTTTCTCGGTCTCGATCTTGCAACACGTATGACACTTGGAAATCATTAACCCGAAGCTTACCATATTGAGCTTTACCGCTCTGTATAATTGCTTCATAGGCACAAATTATATTGAATCAAATCTCACTGCGTACATCTCACGGAAATTACCGAAAATCTTTCGAAGATTTATATAGTGTGTGCATTGACCGTGTAATTAGTATGGAATTGACAGGTTAATAAAACCAAACAATATCTGCCCTTTTGAAATGGCGATTGTTTATGACAATAAACATGCATACCAAGCTTGGATTGGATAGCTTTTTCAGTAACCGGGACAATAGAACTTTACAGAAGGGTTAGCCAACGCCGCTGACAAGAAGGTCTTGAAGACAGATTCACTTTCTTTTTTGAAAGGTTGAGCTGAAAATGGAAAACCTAAAGAACATGAGCCTGCAACAATCTAAATTTTGTCGAAATGGGCATTCTTAACGGATCCAGTATTTTTATTTGATTGAGTCTGTTCATAAGGTTTGCTTCTTGCTACTTTGTCTTCCATAATAAATTGTCGTAAGACACTACCATTTGCAATGGGTCTTCATTGTGCATGAACATTCAGAAAAACCCACATCAAAAATAAAAGAAAAATTAAAAATAAAAAACATTTGAATAGTGTACATTTTTGTTTTATTTACAAAGAAGTGAATACATTGTTCACAAACATGTTGTTAATTATTCTTCTAAAAGTGCACAAAGACAATCAGGTACAGCTTGTCTAAAGATTTAAAATGTTTTATCCCACCCACTTAGACATGTGTTATTCTTACAAATGACAAATTCAACAAAATGTTTTGTAGAATAAGTTGTTAGTCTACCATGTTTGTTTCCTGTTCATATCAAAAGAAACACGTGTATTTGTGTATGTAAAAAGAGAAAAAAAAGAAAGAAATAGAAATATACATATGAACATTTGTAACAAAATAAACACTTTTCAATGGCACAATTATTATGTTTTTTTTCTCATTTCTATAAGGTAAGTGATGGAAAGAAATTTTTTCAACAATAGCAAGAAACAAAGTTTACATGACAACTGCATCTGCAAATAGCATTTTTACACGTTTTCGTCAAAGTTTTCTGTTTTTGAATGCCACTTAGTATTTTAACATTAAAGAAAACATAAAAATACTGAAAAAAAACCAACAAATGTTGCAGTTTTAATCGCAAAAAAAAAATGAAAAAACGGTATTTTTTATGTTTTTATAAAAAAAATATCTTTAGAAGAAACATCCGTTTTTTAAATTTTCCGAATTAAAAAAGTAAAATCATAAATATTCTGGAAATCAGGCAATGGATATAATAAAATCCTGTATAATTATGTTAACATTGCAAATTTTGCTACACATCAGCTAATATTCAACAGCTAAAATTATATAAATACAAAAATAAGAAAACTTACCTACTTAGCTTGGTACAGAAGGAGTCATTGCTTTAGATAACGAGTCTTTGCGATTCAGCCTTGGGCCTGCTTTACGTTCCTCATTGCACTTTAAAACATTGTGACTAAATTTATTAGTACTAAGCCTGATTCATATGAATATCAAATACAAATCTTTATCCATTTAATTGTAAGAAATAACGTGTACTAAATGAAAATGACTTTGAACTTTTTTTCATTGAAATACATGCATTTATTGTACGGTTAAGGTCTTCTGACTTATGCAAAAATCTCTCAAGAATTTTTTTTAAAGATTCTTTACAAGAAACAAGTATTACATGGTACTTTGGTAGAACTTTAGATAAGGTAAAAAATAAGATTTTTCATTTCATTTAAACTATATATTTCCATGGAATGTATTCATTATAGTTTGTTGTTGGAGAAAATTATTGCGATAAGAGATCTTAATTGACTTTAATTTTACAGAGTCGTCTGACGATGAATTAACGTCAGTGTTTCTGAAGTTGTTATACATGCAGATATGACAGATTGCCATTATGTACACTTAGTATGACAAACTGTAAAATATTTGTGTAAACAGTCTTGATATCCAAGACGATGCATTGTTGAACTCGAGAAGTTACTTTTCATTTTTCTTTGTGAACATGCCTTTTTCTACCAGTCATATAGTAAATAAATGTGTTTCATGAATTTACAATAACTTCAAAATACATATCCATATTACCGGGCATTTATTGGTGATCCAGAATATTATTTTGTGCTCCCTTTGTGGGTGTATAATAACTAGGCAAAATGCGTTGTAGTTTCCAGGTTCGACCTTTACTGATCAACATTCATATTTAGTATAAACAACAATACAATGTTAAGTCGGAAGTGACGTTAACGTAAGCGCGGAACGTCACGTTATATAAGGCGCTATAAATGACGTTATCAATTCCCGACATACTCGGGGCGCGAAATGTTATTTAAAGTTTAGTAATAAATCCATTATTTGAACACTACAGTTGCTATAGTACCTCATATAAAGTATTATTAATTAAGAAACAGTCATAAATATATTGAATACAGTCTCTTATTCATGTATCACCTTTCCTTTGAAATTTTAGATTAATACAATTCGATGGGGTAAAGTTTTACAATTGCGCGATTTGTGAGTCCATTTTGAGTTCGAATTTTAGCACTTCGAATAAGTCCATCTTTTCCTGGCACGAGTTCTTCAACCACAGCAAGTTTCAATAATAAGCGGGGAACATCGTCGTGGACTAATACAACGTCTCCAACGGATATCGTCTGGTCATTTTTGCCAGTAGTCTGATGACGTTCTCGTAAAGCTGTCAGGTATTCGTGACGCCATCTATCCCGGAAGTGGTTAATTAACTTCGTTTGTATCGTAGCTTGTTTGATAACTGACGATCGGTCACTTGGCGTGGGGAATATACATGAAAGGACATCTTCATGAGGGAGTTTGGTTATTCGTCTGCCATAAAGTAAGTGTGATGGTGTAAGTACTTCCGGTTCATCTGAATTACCAGAACAAACATATGTCAACGGCCTATCGTTAATCATTGCCTCGATTTCTGTGATTACAGTCTGTAACGTTTCGTAGGTTACATAAGAACGTCCTAGCACTTTCTTTATTGTTGTTTTCGTCAGACCTATGAGACGTTCCCACATTCCACCAAACCAAGGGGCGCGTTTAGGTATCATCTTCCACTCAATTCCCCTGTTGTTGAGTTCTTCTCTAACTGTGAGTGAGTGAAACAAATCTCTTAGTTGTTATGAGGCTAATATGAAGGTGTTAGCGTTGTCTGACATCATGACGTAAGGGACAGATTTTCTGCTACAGAAACGTCGGAAAGCTTGTAGGAATGATTCTGTTGATAGGTTTGAAACAAGTTCTAGGTGAACTGCTCTCGTAGAAGCACATGTAAACAAGCATAAGTAAGCTTTTATGTCTCTTTTGTTACAATCCCGAACCAGTAATGCTGCAGAGAAGTCTACTCCTGTATAAGTAAAGGGTTTGACGTCAGAACTCTACACTTTGGTAATGGAGGTGGGTCAGGTGCTGAATAGGGTTTCCCAATAACCTTCACACAACATGTACATTTACGTAAAATGTTTTTAACAGTTTGACGAATCGAGGGAATCCAGTACTTCTGTCTTAAAAACGTAATAGTTGAACTAACGCCGGCATGCAATAATCTGGAATGTGCGTCGTTGACAAGTAACTTTGTAAAAGGATGCTTAGCTGGTAGTAGGTACGGGAATTTGGTCAGCTCGTCTAATGGAGCATTGTGGATACGACCACGACACTTTAATATGCCATTGTCTAAGAATAACTGAAGTTGTCTACATAATGGAAGTTTGTTTCTTTTTGATTTTGTATCTTCTATTTCTGCTTGATATTTGGACATCTGGCAACTCCGTGTGCACATCTCCTCAGCTCTGCGTAGTTCGTCTGTAGTTAACAAGTCTAATCTTCCAGTATGACTCCCGCCTCGACACTTGAATATAAAACGCAGGACATAAGCTGTAACCCTGAGCAGCTTTCTTAAGGAACTGAATCTTGACATGTCTATGAAACTGATATTGCTTAATGGTAAGATTGTATCTTTTGGCTTGGTTGCTGGGTCAATAAACGTTGTCATGGTAACGTAAATATCTTTTTCTTGCCAAACTGGCCAACTGTCAGGTGTGGTAAGCCATGTAGGTCCATGAAACCATAGATTACTGTTCTTGAAGTGAGTCACAGAGATACCCCTCGTAAGTAAATCGGCAGGGTTTTCTTTCGTCGGACAATAATTCAATTTCCGGTTTTCGGACAGCACGTGGATTTCAATCACTCTGTTCCTTACAAATTGCGGAAGGGTTTTAGGCGTCTGAAGCCAAGAAAGCACAATCTGGCTATCTGACCAAAGGTATATCTGTGTTATGCTGGTGTTTTGCTGCAGGTGTTTACTGAGTCGGGATCCAATTACTGCCGCCATTAGCTCTAACCTAGGTAATGTTAACTTCTTAAATGGAGCAACCCGAGTTTTAGCCATTACAAGAGTAGATTGGTTGTCTCTACAGATGTAAGCCGTAGCACCATACGATACCAAGCTAGCGTCGCAAAATATGTGAATGCACGTGTTTCTTGATGCGTTTAATGTATTATCGAAGTAGTATCTAGGAAACGTAGTTTTTGTCACGGAATTCAAATCTGTTATTAAACTATGCCATTTTTCTTGAATACTGTCAGGTAATGGCATATCCCATTCAAACTTCTGTTGCCATAACTCCTGTAGAAGTAATTTAGCTCTGATGGTAACTGGACTTAGTAAACCCAAGGGATCATAGATTCGGGATGTATGCTGCAATATTTCTCCCCTTGTTACAATCTGGGTATTTGGTATGTTTCTGACCGGATACAGTAAAACGTCACTATTTGTGTCCCATTTCATTCCAAGTATCTTAGGAGTTTGTGCATTATCTATTACTGAATCGTTGATTGCTTGTTTTTGAAGCATTTTACTATTTGAACTCCAGGACCTAAGGTTAAAACCTGCAGATGACATTAGCTCACGAGACTCGGTGTAGAAGTGAAGAAGTTGTTCTTCCTGTTGGAAACTTGATATCACGTTATCAACGTATAGATCTTGACGTAGGTATTTGCTAGCTTTCTTGTCGTTGTTAAGTTCAAGGTGCTTAAGTATAGTTGCGCAGAGAATAAAAGGGGACGACGTAGCCCCAAAAAGGACTGCTCGGAATCTATATGTTGTCAATTCGCTGTTGGGGTTACTAGAATCACTGAGCCATAGAAATCGCGTCACATCTCGGTCGTTCTCGTCAAGAGTGATGTTGAGGAAAGCTTTCTCAATATCGGTTGCTATGGCGTATTTATTCATTCGAAAACGAATAAGAATTCCAGTTAAATCATTCAGTTCAGGTGGTGTCGACATCAAGCAATCGTTCAAACTAGGCTGGTCACGTGACTTACAACTGCAGTCATACACGATGCGGATGGGTGTCGTGTTCGAGTCCTTCTTTACATAATGATGTGGTATATAATGTACAGGGTTTGATGTGGTAACATTTGCATCACATATTTCAATAAATCCGCGTTTTAACTGATCTTCTATGATTTGTCCATAGTTTATAAGTATATCCGGTTCTGTTGAAAGCCGTTTAATTGTGTTTTCTGTACGCTTTCTGCAAATTTCGTAATTTGTAGGAAGTACGGAATGATCTTCTTTCCAGGGCAGTTTTGCAACATAACGTCCATCTTTGTACGTGATACAGTTCTCTTTATACTCGTTAAGTATACCGGAAGTAGATTTCTCAGTATCATCTTCTAATATCCCCATAGATTCTAACTTCCAGAATCTCTCAAGATCTGTGGCATTAGGTGGCGCTGTTACAACATTAAACATATAGCTAACAGACGACGCATTTTTAACTTCCGGAAGAGGTCCTGACAGTAAATAACCGAGTTTTGATTTCACTGCCGTAGGTCCGTTGCCCCTAACAACCTTATTCTGCACGATTTGCCAAAAATAGTCTGCTCCAATCAAGAGTGATATATCGAAATCGTCGTCAGTGTCGGTAATAGGATGTGCAAGTTTAAGACCTTCGAGATATTTGAGACATTTCACATTTCTCTGCAAGTTAGGTAATGGTACAGCAATGGTTGGTACAATAAGTACGTCAAGTGGTATGATCTCTCTATGTTCGACGTGTAGAAACACTCTGCCTGTGGGTATATGACGACACTGTTCTGATTTGCCACCAAAAGATGCTAATGATATAGTGTCCGAACCGTTGGGCTTTAATTTCAGTTTCTCAGCAAGCTCTTCCGTAATAAATGACCTTTGAGCACCTTCGTCAAATAATATGTTTGTATAAGTTATGGTATGGTCTTGGGAGCTTACTTGAGCGATAGCAGTCTTGAGTAGAATGTTCGATCTTTGATGCGTAGTTGAATGAAGAATAGCAGTTCCTGTATTTCCTGTTTGACCGGAAGTAGAGCTTTTAAATGATGTTGCATGTGGGTTCAAATCGAAATTCGATGGTTGGTCACAAATACTAGAATGGTGCTTTCGCTGGCATTTCTTGCACCGAAACTTAGAACGACACTCTGAAACTTGGTATTTTCCCAGGCAATTATAACACATACGTTTAGCTTTAATGATAGTTAGTTTTTCTTCACGTGTTTTAACTTTTTCACAATCAAGCGACTTGTGGTCACCTTCACAGAACAAACATAATTTCTTACCCTTATCATTATCTCTTGTGTGCGAAAATTTCTTAGATGGGTATTTTTTCTTTCCGGTTCCGGTTAATAATGAAGCCGTTGGCAAATGTGATTCTCTTATTTCGTCAGTTATGCCCATTTCTAGAATGTTTAATTCTCTGGCGATAGAAGTTCTCAAATCTTGTATGTGCCATCGTACATTTCCGTGTTCTCGAGCTAAATTTCGTCGTACTTCGGAGGGAAGTTTTTTCATGATTATGGGTATCAATAAATCACCATAGGAACCCTGACTCTCACCTAAATATTCTAAACCCCGGATGTAGTTTTCCATTTTGTCGTGAAACCTGCGTAGACTCGTTACACTGTTGTCTGGTATCGGCAAATCTAAAAGCGACTGCATGTAACTATCTATAATTTTATGAGACTGTCCGAATCGTTCTTGTAACAAATCTATTGCATTCTGGTAATTTCCGTTAGTTAATGGAAAACCTGCTATGGCGGTATATGCAGTATCGTGTAGTAAGGGACGTAAATAATTGAACTTTTGGACATCAGATAGTGTTTGATTCAAATGTACAGCAGCCTCATACGAGTCTCCAGAATGACTGCCATTTTTCAACATCTCCATCAAACGTAGGTAAACTCAGTTTAGGTAGTCTGTGAAAAGATGAATAATCAGACGACACTCTGTGGCTATAATTAGAAAAGTTCTCACTTGATAAAGTTCTAGCACTACCGTTAATGTCCTGTGAATTACGGATCACGCTGCCGCTGCCAGTGTTATTAGATTTGGTAATATCGTCCTTCAGTTTTCGTAGTTTCAAACGTAGATCAATTGAATATTCGTCACTCTCTACCAATTCTGTTTCCAAATCGTCAATATCTGCATGATTAACAATCTTATCGTTGAGGTTCTTGATTATCTCGGCTTTTTCTTCAATGATTTCGAGCAGGGCTGACTTCTCCGAAAGTGACAACTCGTCGTTAAATTTCTCCAGTTGTCTAGAAATAAGACGTCGCTGGCCCTCTCTAGTAGAAAAAAGCTTCTGTAAATTCATTGTGATTGTAGAATTTCTCACGGCACCAACAATGTGGGGGTGTATAATAACTAGGCAAAATGCGTTGTAGTTTCCAGGTTCGACCTTTACTGATCAACATTCATATATAGTATAAACAACAATACAATGTTAAGTCGGAAGTGACGTTAACGTAAGCGCGGAACGTCACGTTATATAAGGCGCTATAAATGACGTTATCAATTCCCGACACCCTTGTTCACATTGTGCAGCTACGATATTCTACTTCTGAATGATCAATTACTTCAACTAACTATACCATGTGACCAGTTTTAAAAAAAACTTTTGCCTATGTCACAGTATAGGATTTTAGTCCCGGGTTTCACTTGAATTAAACAGAAGAACAAGACTAATCACTGAATTGATAAAGTTTGACCCCGGCAAACATCATTTATCTAAAAACTGAGCAGACGTAAAACCCAATAAAACGAACAAACATCATGTTAAAGCCAATGTTAAGTTAAGTTTGACCTACTAAAATGTACTTTATAAATGTTGTTATGCGCATAAATGTATACATTGATATAACAAACTTATTGCCATCTTTAAAATATACAATAATTTGACATTACTTGTCGAGATCATTTTAAGGTCGCGGCTAATCTGCGGTTGCTCAATATGACGGTCTTATACGGTCTCGTACTCAGGGTTTAATTCCATAAGTATGGCTTACTTTATAATAAAAATACAGATAATCTATGATCATCATTGAGAAAAGCATTTAATCGCAGAAATTTATTGAAATCCAAGACATTCGTTTTGAATATGTATAATTAAAAAAAGAATGAATAAACTACATGTATGTATTGGAAGATGTGTTCCCAATTACCCAATTACAGGCCATTTAAACTTTTTTTTTAAAAATCAACTGTCAGTTATTTAATGACACTAAGTGTAAACTGTGGTCTTTCAATCCAAACTGCGATATTCATTTTCATACCCCTCTTTGAAAAAACATCAGAGTATCTAAGGTCCACAATAGAAATAAGAGATTAAGTTCTCTTTCTTGTGTTATTATATGTATGATGTTTTTGATGTGATGTTATTTTTTTGTAAACATGTCATGTTTTTTTTTAAATTGTTTTAACATGTATTGGATATGATTAACTATGTTATTACATGATACTTAAATAATCATCTATTTGCAATGCAAAGAAATTATGTATATTGTAACATTTTCAAAGAAAGATAGTCGGAATAATTATGTTGAGCTTCATGGCATTGATCGTAGAATTACATTTTATGTCTTTATTAGGATAACAGTACTTTCCAGGACCGTCAGTGAGCAGGGTCAAGCAAACCGAAACCGAACCGAGCTCATATGACATAAAAATGTTCCTTATGTCATGCATATTTCATCTATTATTACACTCGACTGCCTAGTCTGTTAAACGAGAATAGTTTGAAGCGTTTTATATTATATGTAAATCTGAGTTTTCGAATAGTGTGTTGCGTCAGACAAAATGCGTCTGTGCTTTTTTCCAAGTTTTTCTTCATATAAGATGGTATAACGTTATGTTATTGGGCATCTATGCTGCTTGTCTAAGATGATTATTTTTAAAGAAAACACAGACCAGGTTTGATACACTGGCACATCTTCACCGTTTGTATTTAATATTCTTAAATAAAACAAAGTCCTTTTTGGGCCGTGGGCCGTATAGACTATATTTTCTATGTAAAGAGAAGAACTGGCCTTAGAAAGTTACTTTTTATAGTAGAAATACAGAAAACTATTTGGATTGAAAAGTATTCCATGTCAAACAGACACATTGAGGAAGAAACAATAATGGTATCGTTAAAAAGTCCAAGTACAAGATTTTTCTATTTTTGTATGACGATGTCTATTTTTATGTGTGAGGAAGCTATATTTTTGTATGACGATGTCTATATTTGACCCTGAATGAAATATAAGAACAAATACAAGTAAAATAGCTATTATTTATAAGGAACGAACGTTCCGGCGATTGCGGAAGTCCCTACTTATGTTCCTCTTCAACCACCGGGGTATTTAGAAGTTGTTTATACAAATGAATAATGTTTAATTAAAATTAATTGATATGTTAACAGCCCGCAGTTTTAGATACCATATATATATATAATGACGGAAAATTGGTATGTGAAGATAATGCGTAATCAGAAAAAAATGTGATGTAAGGTGGAGTCAAATTTAGTTCAAAGGCAAGTAAAACAGTTTTTACTTCTATAGCAAATCATAATGGATTGCGTAAATTTTAAATTCGATATTTTTTATTTTTTTAGGATAACTATATTGTTCATATTGTTATTATTCATATTGTGGCCACCGTTAATGTGTTGAAATTAAAATATATCATATTTATTTTGTGTGAAGTCAAAACATGTTTATTTTATATTTACATAGAGGCTGTGTAGCGATTATCAATATTTTTGAATATCAAATTTGAACATAATATATCATTAACAATTCGACCTTAAAGTTGGAGGTCATTAAAAGCTCAAGGTTAAACTTTTGTTGCACAATATGACTATTTTATGCATAGTGTTGATTTGTTTAAGGATGAATTAAATCAATCTAAGAAGAACTAACTTATGCCAAACATTTTGGCAAAATTGTATTACTTGATATTTAAGGTTAAGGTAAAGTTCAGCTTGACCTACTTAAAGGGATTGTTGAAAGGGTTGCTGTGTCTAGAATGAATATAATATCTACATTCATAACAAGCTTATAGTCAATTATAATGTTATTTATTAATGAAGATAATGTGTTAAGAAAGCCAGTTTGAATTAAAAGATTTATCAACATCCCCTGAATGGGTTTTGTTTAAAAGATGAATTTCACATTCCAATATAATAAAGTATTTTCTTAAACGATATGTACAACAATTGTTAGCTTTTATTAAGAATTTTAAAGTAATTGAATTGTCCTTCGGCTAGTAGTTCAAACCCACCTACATTTAAGAATAGTCACTACTTTGAGCCAGAATTGTAATTTAGAAGATATTTTATCGTATTTCCTTGTTATTTACGGTTCAAGTTGGCACCACTGTCTTCATACTGTAAAACCATGTTCATACATCTAGCATCTTTATTGTAGGGTACCTTCTTTGAAACTTCCAACATTGTTTATAAACATATTTTTTTATACTCTGTCAATCTGTTAACGCATACTTCAGATATTGAAAACACAAAAATGTCTAATAGTATAGATGTTTTATTTTTGTCGACATGCATTTTGATGAAATTCATTAAATAATAAATATGAGTGATACTTTTATCAAGCGGCACTCAAAGTTTTACATTAAATGACTCAGTTATCGCGTAGGACCAGGCAAATATATTAACTCTGAAATGTCGAATACAGCCATTTTGTGGTACTCAACACCTTCTTTGTGAAGGGTAAAAGTTGCGAGAAAGAGATCCCCCAAAAGCAATGTAAACAACAGCATTACTTAAAAGTTACAGACTCAGTATCAATAAGAATACATATAAGATAAAGTAAATGTGTGGAATCTATCGTTTCCATAATACTGGCTGAAGAGTCTAACTTTTTTCTCAAACCTCGACATGTGCTGAAATCAATTCCACTTTTATGATTAAGCTTGCAATTTTTTTCTACATATTCAATTATAAAGTACATGGTATAATACCAGGAACGTCATTTCGCAAAAAAAAGATCGGGTGTTATCAAGATTTGTTGGGCTGCATTGTTGCATGTGATTCATGAATTAAGTGTAGAAAAGTTTATACATGTACATGTATTTAAATGTTACTTAAGTTGCGGCTACTATTATCTTAAAATATTTATGATTGTTTCTATCTTCAGGGTGAAGCTCTATATTTGATAATCGCATATCATCCTGATCAGAAAAATGGAAATTAAAACAAATGAGATGAACCCAGCGGTAATATTTATCGAATTCATATAATTATCATATTTATCACATTACTTTCTAAATTACGCATTATATATTGTTGCAAAGATAAATGTTATTACCCACGTAATTTTACCTTATTGCTATGCTTGTTTTGCTTATTTAAAATTGTCTTGGAATTTTTATGTCATAAAGCGGACAAAGTAGCATCAACTGATATATCAAACAGAATTTTGAAATGTATTTATAAGAAAAGAAACCTTTAACATTATTCTAATTAATGTTACAGAAGAGCTGTGATGTGACAAGAGGGCATGAACACTACATCAGTCATATATTGTTATTGGAACAAGCTTCGCCCATCGCATTGAAGGCCATTATAAAAAGAGAAGAAAAAAAATGTGGAAAAGATATTGGTATTTTGCTAAATGAGAAAAGAGATATGTTTAAAACCCAGTACGAAACAGAGTTTCTTCAATTATTTCAAGGAGATGATGTCAATGACGACATTGATACGTGGGACACTCTTCAATTATGTCCTGTGACATTATTTTTTTTTAAATCTGATCTAACTGATGCAGAAGTTAAAGCCATTCAATGTATATATAATCAGAGGAAAGATATTGAACAATACACCGAATGTGCCTCCCTAGCATTCAATACCTACAACGAGAAACAACATTTATTGCACGATCAATTACTCGAGTTGATAACGCTCATAGACGACCAAGCTAATCTTGATTGTAAACGTATGATGTTTTCATTTGAATCAAAATCAATGAAATTAAGCGGAAAAAAGATAGACAAACTAGCACAGACAAATGACATCAAAACTCATCTTAAAATTGCAATTGATGTAGATGTCGTAACGGAGAATGATATCATTGGCGGAAAGAACCACCAAAAGCTCCAGTTAAATGGTCAGTACATGTTTTTGTGTTACAGTATGAATTTAATTTTATTCTTATGGTTATCTTGAACATGTCTGTATGCAAGTTTCAAATAGTGTTAATGTTTGGCTATAACGATATAATTGATTAAGATAGCCAGGATCGACCATAAAACTAATTGAACATTCATGTATGTATATTCTAAATTTGTATTCAGCATGAGTCAAACTGATACAATATATGGTCAATCAAATGATATATAATACAATTAGATGCTATATGCAAAGTATATTATAAAAAATGAGATCGTATTCAATTTGATAATGACACGAGCAGTATAACGCATCGGGTTACAGTATTTTTACGAGTGATGATATTTTTACTGTTTCTCACAAAGCTATGTGTTATTTATTCTATTACGGTAACCTCGAACGAATACTGCAATGATCTGAAAACTTCAATTTAAACCAACTGTAACAAAATTGAACCAAGGGTAACAATTACGCAACTGTCTTTGTCTTACAAGTTGTAAGTGAACTTGAAAAGTATTTTTTTTTCTTTTATTCTTTAAGGGAAGGATGATATGAAACAGTCATAAACATACAATAAGCTGTGTTTCATTTGTAAACAAAATCAAACACAAACATTTATCCGTTATGATCTGTGAAATCGGATCCTATGCCAACCAGAAAATTCTTCCCATGGATTTTGACAATGTGCATATGCGAAATTACGATGGTATCTTACATCTTCATGTTTCACTTATTAAATTCGTTAAATAATACTTTTTAGCATGCTCTAATCGCCTGTTCCATTCCGACACATAGTTAATCACAACTTCCGAAGAAAACGAATTTGTATTAATTTTCTTACTATTCAATGATTCAACCAAATGACAATTAAGACGCGAAATACTTTCTAGGTGCAAACACTTTAAATTTCTGTCTTGCAATAGTCTATTTGGTAATGGCCCTTCGTGGTGAACATCGAAAAATAAGGGAACAAATGCCGGCCATTTTTTGTTTTAGAAAATAAAGCACGTGACAAAATTTTATACTGTTTAAAGTACTTTTACTTATGTAACAGTACAAGTTTCTAAACTTTGTGCTACACTTGAATTAACATTATGAATTATTCCTATTGGCCTATGGTAAATTAACATTACCAAAAAATGAGGGTTAAAATATACAAAAACTTGATATAGCTGAAATATAATCTTTTAAACAAAATACAATATACTTCAGGCCAAATGTTCACTGAAGAACTTCAGAACAAAAATGTCTACATCAATGATTCAGCTATTTTGACATGTAAACTCAACCTTCCAACAGATGAAAATGTTGAGTGGAGGAAAGATTACAAGCCGGTTGAAATTTCAAACAATTTAATGGTCATGAGCAAGAATGGCAATCATTGGTTAGCGATTTCCCGTGCATCATTAGAAGATACGGGTCAATATACGTGTGTATATGGCCATATTTCAACATCAGCTGATCTTACTGTTATAGGTATGCTTTCATCGAATAATAGCATTAAAGACTTGTATTCTTGTTTAATGCTTAGAAGCAGATAACGAGGTAGTCATACCTTACCATGGCATTTACTATTTATAACTTTCAAAGCTGTCTATCTAGTAAGTTAAACTAGTATATGGAAATTATAATTTTAGATAAGGCTTTAACTTAAGTTTGATTGACAACTAACGACATTATAATTTGCTACTAAAAAGTAATTAATCTGAACAGCAATAAATTAAATGACAAATGACTGAGTGGAATGTAAATATATAATAGCATACATAGGCGCTTATTAAGAACAGTCTATTCAATTACCAATAATAATTGTTACTTTGGTTACAAGGATTAGGAAGCTTCAATATTTGTACATTCACGAAATAGATCCTGCTAGGAAAACTTTGTTATGGCAACATCATTGCGAACAAAAAACTTTTGCTTCATGAATTAATCATTTTAATGTATGATTTATTTTCAATACAAATATATGTGTATTTTTTTCTTATATTGCAATATTAGAATTAATATCGAATGATCAAATGAATTACAAATTAATTATGCTTCGTTCAATTATCTTGATCCCATCATATTGTTTCAGATGAGGCATTACGTGTGGTCGTTGATTTGCCTGTCAAGATTGAGGTTATTGAGAATGGAAACATTGATATAGAATGTAAGGTGAACCTGCTAACGAGTAAACCTGTTTGGCGACATAAAGATAAACTTCTACAATCATCTGCTAGAAATGTTATACTAACCAAGGGTAATACACACAAATTGATCATCACGAATGTAAAATTACACGACGAGGGTGAATATATAGTTGAGTTTGGTAATGTCTCATCTAAAACAACAGTTCAAATACAAGGTAAAATCAACACATTTGGAAGTAATCTTAGTTTGGGTAATATTGCTACTAATTGTTAGTTGGTTAAAATTATTTCGATCAGGTCCTTTTTGTAAATCTTTTATCACAACATGATTTTATTCATAAGGTTTTAGACAAGACTAGTAAATTTAAAAAGCAAATAATGCTATTATTTTCATACCAAATTTCCAGATGCCCGATCATTTGTTTTTTGTCTTAAATTTATTGTAGGCGAAACAGACCTTATTCATAGAAAACAGATAACACACGAATTGTACAGAAATTGGATGAGAGGAGCTTTAGCGTTAAAATATTTGAAAATAGGTTTAGAGGGTTTTTCCGACAAGGCTGTTACCAAACAACATGATGATCTAATGAAAAGACTTGGAAACACATGCAACACTTGTACAGAGGAAAGTCTTCTCCCACATAAAAAAGATCAATGCCCACGGCAAGGAAAACATCAGTGTTTATGTACAAACAGTAAGAAAAGAAAGTCAAGACAAATGTGTCCAAATGGAGGATTTTGTGGCAACGTTTATAGTAAAATAGTTTGTAAACATCGCTTTCAAAATCCATCATTCACGAACACGGATGTCCAGAAATGGAGCAGTGATCCATGGAGTGTTGCTACATGCTTTATAAATACTACTGGCTACAAAGGCAAACAATCAGCTAAAGATGTCGACTGCTCTGGTTTACTTAGTATGTGTATAAACAACATTGATATAGAAATGATGCTTGGAGAAGTTATCATCGATGGGAAAATAGATGCCTTTGCTCAGGTAAAAATTTTCACCACAGCAATCACCTATTTATGTATGTTTCTCAATTGAACATTGCATATACATGATATTTCGCCTATTTTGTGCAAGTCTATTTTAAAGTCTATTTTGAACATCCACTGTCAAATTGGCATTAAAATTGATTAAGTCAACAGTTTTAGCGACAAATCTGAATGAGACTTTAAATTAAATACTGAAGTGTTACTTTATTAGGCAAGGGCAGCGCGGAATGATATTCTACACAGTCCAAACTATGAACTATCTGAAAATCAACTAAACAAGTTTATCAAGATGTTCAAAGAAGTACTAAATATCAAGGACAAACATGGCAATACACCTCTGAAAGGGGAGCCAGGCGTGACAAACGCCTTACATTTACTAAATATGGTAACTATCCCATAAGAGTACTTATAAAGACATAATTAGCCGAATTGAGATACATTGTATTGGTTCTTTATGTAATAAATCGTATTTCTTTCTAAATGTATCAATTAAGAATAAATTGATCCATTTTGAAATATTTCTTGCAAAATATACTTAAGCAATTTCTAAATTCTAAACTACTTATTTTGCAATACAATATAACATATAATTTGTAATAATACGTCAGGTCCTTTTGCATTATTGTGAAACACGTTTATTGACTATAATAGTTAGTGCATTATTGACTATAATAGTAAGTACAATTACTTTATCTGTTGTGAGATTGTAATGGATCAATCTGTATCATCTTGCAAACGTGAGTTCAATAATTCTAGGCTTTTCACACATATACACAGTCAATTGTTTGAGTATTAACAAGATTGCAACAATACAGAGTGTAAACAAAATGATCAACAAAGCTTTTTACATGTAAATAATTCGGTAGTTTGTTTTAAAAAAATAACCTTGAAAAACTTAAGTTCATTTTGACCGTCCTTTGTAGTACTTTCTTTGATTTCAAGTGATACTAAAGGTCTTTCCATTCTTATAAAAAATGGGCATAATATGGATTCTGACATTTTTGTATTGCATGAAAAAGACGAATTCTTCACCGGAGTCCTATGATAAATTTCTTACAGGTGCAACAAAATCAGATTGAGATTAACCTTGAACATGAGGTGAGACAGCTGAGAGAGCATGGGATGTCTAGATTAGAAGAGAAATACGAAACAGCACAAAAACAGGCAAGTTTTTACAGCTAATGCATTAGTATTGTTATAACATGTTTTCAGACCGAGTAGGGCAATAATTAAGTAAAGCAATATTAATTTTCAAGTCTAATACAATGGATAATAAGTTCAAAAGGTCTTTTAAAAATACTGCGATTCTAAAGTCGCTAGTCTGTTTATTGTATACGAATCATTACTGAGAAAGATGTAAAACAGATGCCTGTCATTGTTACATGGCTCTCTGTTAACCATCATGCACGCTTGAATATATAGCCTCGTTTAGATTTTTTGAACATTACATTCGTTGGTAATGGAAAAGAGTACAATTTTGAATGACATAAAAGTGTTATTACGTCAATATACTTTGTGGTCAGGTCTAAACTACTGTCTTCTATCCTAGGTAATCAAATATAGTATTTAGACGGTGGTATCCGAACTATTCCAGTGTTCTGTTAGTTTTATCTTTGGTTTTAGAAAATAAGGAATTAAATGAATATTACCAAAATAGATATAATTAAAACTTAGTACATTCTTCGTAATGATTATGCACGATAAGCGAATGGTTCGAATGATTTATATGATGCCACACTTTAAATTTTTTTCTTCAGCATGAATTGAAACTTCAACTGATAGAGCAACAGATAAAAGGTTTGTCCTTGAATTTTGATTTGAACAAATAAGAGCTTGTTCTTATACGAAACTTCTACTAGGTTATTAGACTATGATTTAAAATCAAACATAAGTATTATCGAGATACACGTAACCGTGAATTTCAAAAGTCCTGTATCCGTTTGAAAAGAATTACATTTATTCCCTTAAATTGCACAAATTCATAAATTGTTTCCTTTTAATGATAGAACTGTTAGATTTATAACACAGTAACATTATCCATAATTGATATAAGGTTTTAAACATATGTTATACTGATATACTCGTACACAATATATAAATAGCTTCAGAGAGAAAGAAGAATTTAAAACAAATGAAGCTTCAAATAGAACCACACTTTGAAATGAAAATGATGTTTGAATAGACATATATCAGGAAAGAGGGGTTTGAGAATTTGACACTATAAAAAGTTTATGCAAGAAACATTTTCTTATAAAACGTCTTTATTTCTATAAAAAAAAAAATAAACAATCAAAAGAAAAAAGAATAATCCATAAATAGAAAACATTCCAGAGTTTGCAGACTTTTTCTTTTAAAAGCCTTGTAACTTTGAACAGAAACAGTATTGTTTTTGTTTAAAAAGTTAAAAAACACGAAAGTATGGGTGTGTCGAAATTATCTTGAAAAACGTTTTGTCTAAAATTGTATTCTTCCCATTTTATATACATGCGGAATATCTTAAAAATAGGATACGCATATACTCTTGTTTAGCATTATTGAATATCATTTTCATAAGTTTCCGTTATTGCCCAAGTTGTGTTTATATTTACAGATAAAGAAAATGAGCTTGGGCTTATGCTTAATCTTAGATCTGCAGGAAAACAAAAAAATCTTAAAGGTACTAAATGAAAAAAAAGAAAATTAAAAACTCTTATCAATACAGACTTGTTAAAAATGAACAGAAGACAAAAGGAAAACAGATAAAGAACATTATTATTTTTTCATACATATACTTATTTGAAAACTAAAATGAGAATATAAGTTGAACTAGCTATATGTGAAATACATCAATAATTCATAGTCAAAATGCCAGTTTTCTATCTTTTCCTTGTTGTTCTTGCATGAAAACTGCGCACGTAAGATGTATTGTAATGAAGACGGAAACATGATTTTACAGATATAAGCATGCTTTGTTTTTTAATATGCATGATTAATGGCACCATGTATAATATAAACGGGAAATGAAGAAATCTGTGTTACATTTATGTGGAAAAAAATAACGAATGGCAAATGTAACTTATTTGAGAATAGCGCTAATACACTATTTGTGCGTGCATTAACATCTGCATATTTTGATGCACGTTAAACCGTACATTAATTCTCTATTATGTTTTTTTTTTCAGAGCACTTCTTGCTTGATCTACAGATAAAAGTTATTGCTAAAAATGGTGAAAGAAATGCTGAAGGGAATCAACGAGTTTATGATAAAATGAGAGACTATATTAAAGATAACGATAGTATGACTTGTTCGCCTTTTGATGAAAGATCAACTGATACACCAGTCTGTCACCTCGTAGATTTCATCAAGGCCATGAAGAAATGCCGTAACGTTGATATTTCTCCCACTGACCAATCGTCAACAGACATACAAATCAACTGTCCCAGTTCGAATGCCATGAAAGATTTTCTCAAGTCTATCATCGGTAACGAATTTCAACAAAAACTGTTTGACCTTAGACGATGGCTACAAGTGCAATATGACATTGAATCGTATGACATAATGGCTAATTGCTCATCAAATGGCATAGAGAAAGCAAAACAACGTCTGCGTAAGTTAAATATGAATAATAATGATATCTGATACCTTTTATAATTGACAGTGTTTTCTGCTCCTGTCGGTGCAAGTATTAATGTAATTAGAGCATACCAATAGTATTAAATGATTGATTAATCATAATTAATTAAAATATTGTTTGCTATATATCGTTAAGATATCTAAGGATTATTGAAAAACTTAATACGTTGATATTTTTAGTCTGTAAACACAAAAACATGTACAGATATTTGAAAACGTAAAACTACTGTCTTCAGACTTTACTGACGTAACCAGAACTTTGACTTGTGCCGAGCATCAAAATACACAATGTACTCTCTATTGTCCTGACCATGACACGTTTTTATGTACAGCATGCAGGGAATCAAGACATGGGTAATTATACATTTCTTACAATCAGTTATTTATAGTGGTTAATACGGTACAAAAGGTATCAAATTAAACAAACGAATTTTAAAATCGTGCAACAATGACTGACAACTTACCTGTCAGAAACATTTAAGTTTGATTTCACTTAAAAAAAATTGTAAACAAATTAGAACAATTTATAGTTTGACAAAAATAATCATTTGATACTTTTATTGTCCCGACACTTTAATTTTATTCCTCATTTTAGCATATCAATTGAAATAATTTTAATTTATTTGGTTAGTAACACGAATAAAATATATTATAGTCATCACCTTTGATACATATTCGAGTGTTGGCAGAATAATTAGTCTTTTCTTTATAGCGATTGGCCGATGTAACATTGGTCTACACTCAGATACAGTGAGCGACTAAATAGTTTCTTTTGATCCATTGATGTGGTTTTGACCTACGCTGTTGCTTTGACGTTTGTAACATCCGAGGTTTACGGAATGCCGTTAGGGCCATTGCCTATGAATGTGTTGATCTGAAACGCGATAGTCGATAGTACGATGGTGAAAACGCGAAAACACGAAACTACGATGGTGAAAATGCGAAAGCACGATGATGAAAACGCGAAAGTACGATGATGAAAACGCGACAGTACGATACTACGATGATGAAAGCGCGATAAACTATCGTGTTTTCACCATCGTACTGTCGCGTTTTCACCATCGTAATTTCGTGATTTCGCGTTTTCATCATCGTACTGTCGTGTTTTCATCATCGTACTATCGAGTTTTCACCATCGTACTATCGCGTTTTCACCATCGTACTATCGCGTTTTCATCATCGTACTGTCGTGTTTTCATCATCGTACTATCGCGTTTTCACCATCGTACTGTCGTGATTTCATCATCGTACTATCGCGTTTTTCATCATCGTACTATCGCGTTTTCACCATCGTAGTTTCGGGATTATCGTGTTTTCACCATCGTACTATCGACTATCGCGTTTCAGATTAACACATTCATAGGCGATGGCCCTAACGGCATTCCGGAATGCCGTTAGGGCCATCGCCTATGAATGGTTTTGATCTGAAACGCGATACTCGACAGTACGATGATGAAAACGCGGAAATCACGAAACTACGATGGTGAAAACGCGACAGTACGATGGTGAAAACACGATAGTTTATCGCGCTTTCATCATCGTAGTATTCGTACTTGTCGCGATTTCATCATCGTACTATCGCGTTTTCATCATCGTGCTTTCGCGTTTTCACCATCGTAGTTTCGTGATTTCGCGTTTTCACCATCGTACTATCGACTATCGCGTTTTAGATCAACACATTCATAGGCGATGGCCCTAACGGCATTCCGTAGAGGTTAGCCAAAAGTATTCGTTTCTGTTTCTGCAGCAATATGACCTTAACTGTGTTGACCTGTACGCCGTAAAACTTAAACAAACAAACAAAACTAACAAAATATTTTTATATCGGCAAATTCCAGCATTTCTGATAGTTATTTTGTATTCATTTAACTGTTAACTTTTAATTAGAACAAAACCTTCATTCCTGAAAAAGTACCAGGTATTTATTACAAGGATTACCCGCTGGTTTGTCTTTTGTGTATGCTTATTCTTTACAATTTACCAAATATTTTGTTTTTTAAGCCAGTAATTGCTGTTATCACATTTTTATACATGTTTTTTTTTCTTGAAACTGATCATATTCATTTTATTTTGTAAACATGCAAACTATTATTGCATGATTATCATTATTAAAATTTATTATCTTATCAGTATTCAAAATGAGCTCTTTAAAATCATGTGATGCACCTATGATTCAAACATCATATCATATATCACCCTTCTGTGTAATTTAGTTACTAATACATTGGTTATTATGTGTTTGCGCTGTAATTGGCCCTTCATTTATAGGGCAGATAATTTGTACAACTTATGAATGTAACAACCGTTTTCTTAACATGAGGAATTTTTGCACTTCGATTTTGTATAACATATTTCTTAGAGGTGAATACTTGGTTGCTGCTCGCCATTGTGCGATAATGGCCCGACGATGTTCATAATGACCCGAGGACCGCAGACCCTCGGTGTCCATTATCACCACTCGACGGGCAGCAACCAAGTATTAACGTCTTTAAAACCTACGGAATACCGTTGAGGTCTTCGTGGTCAGCAGATTTAATGTACTGTACGTCATGCGAAAAAATGATGACCAGCTAAACGTATTGCACTATCGTATTGTCGCCATCACACTATCGCATTGTCGCATTATCGTACTGTCGTCATCGCGTTATCGCACAGTCGTAAAACCACGTAGACATAACGGTTTTCCATAAATACCTACATTTAAATATTGCGCTTATCTTGGTTGTCGCAATTTCTAAGAAACGTACAGGTTGTCATTTTATACAAATATGTCTGTCATTCAGTTTAACAAACTAGCAATTGATAGAAGGAAGGGGTGCAGACTTTTTGAACATATGCTTATTAATAAACACGAAACTCACAGAATTATAGGTACAAACAATGTGTTCATACATTTGGTTATAATAGCGGTTTCTTTTTATACACCAGTTTTTGGCAAATTCAACCCATATTTCTGCGCGCTTTAAAAATGATTCAATACCAGAAATTAATTGAAATTAGGTGTGGAACTAGTTTCCCCCAAATACAAGTGCATACGATTATATACGAAATTGATATTGTATAAACGTACAGTCCGTTTTGTACTTGCAATATAAATTGATAAAATGTGTATGCATATACCCGGAAATACACACCTTTTAAATCTTCGTGGGACAGAATTTTCTGTCTGTCAAACATGTGTATATGTATATTGAATGTCTGTTAATCTCGGGTACATGTATAACAATGTACATTCAAAAATGGCTTACACTCTTAATGTTTGATAAACTTGGTTATAGAAGCATTCTTAATGTGGAACAGATTGCCCTGATTCTTTCCAGTAATCACGGATACATAATAATTATGAACTAATTTACGCTCGATCTAACGGACAAATACTTACAAATGGCAGTCGGTGCGTGACTTGGATAGTATACAATGACATGTACACGCCCACTCATTTTTATACCCCCGAAGGGAAGACATAATATAATCGCACCGTCTGTCTGTCCGTTCATTCGTGTCCGGACTGCAACTTTGTCATACATTGAGGGATTTTGAAATAACTTGGCACAAATGTCTACCATATCAAGACAATGCGTTGCGTCCAAGAACCACGTCCCTGTCTCAAAGGTCAAGGTCACACTATCATTTTGAAGTTTCATATAATCGCAATTAGAGTAAATAGGTACACACATTCGTGTCCGGACTTATAACTTTGTCATGCATCGAATGATTTTAAAATAACTGGGCATAAATGTCTACCACATCAAGACGATGTGTCGCGTCTAAGAATTACGTCTCTTCCTCAAAGGTCAATGTCACATTTTGAAGTTTCACATTATCACAATTAAAATCAATAGGTACACACATTCGTGTCCGGACTATAACTTTGTCATGCATGGAATGATTTTAAAATAACTTGGCATAAATGTCTACAATATCAAGACGATGTGTCGCGTCAAATAATCACGTCCTTACCTTAAAGGTCAAGGTCACACTACCATTTTGAAGTTCTTTTTATCACCATTAGAGTTTATAGGTACATAAATTCGTGTCCGGGCTGTAACTTTGTCGTGCATATAAAACCTGACCTGGATATTCACGATGTAACAGTAGGTAGGCACTTTCAGTAGTTATTTGCAGTTAACTTTTAAATTTTCCCTAATTACATGTATACAAAGCCCGACCCGGATATACCTGATGTGTACCCCGTATCGCTTAGTCAAGTTTGAGCTAAGCTCTGTTACATCGTGAATATAAATCATTTCTGCGTAGATTACACTTTTTTTGGTGAAAATTGGTTGGTTGACAATTAGCAAAGATCTCGGAGGTAAAGTAAAGCCTGGTGGTAGTTCCGCCGGCGAACCTATTATGGATGAAATTTTTAAAAACAACTTTCCATTGCTGTTTTATTGAAAATAAGATATTTTAAACACATTTTAAGTAAAATAGATATTTTAGTAGTAAAAAAAATAGTGGGCGTGGTCATGAAAATGTATACTATCCGAGCCACGCATCGACTGCTTGGTGATACTTACCGATGTTCGATTCCCCCAAAAAGCAATCACAGCAGTCTCGTCAAGTGGCGTGGGAGTCCATCAGTTGAATACGTGCAAATCCAATGAGCGTATCAAACTGATTTTAATATTAGATATAACATTACTGAATCAGGATCAACAACACAAATGATAGTTCGGAATTTAGTAATTTAAATCATAAGAGGAAATCAATTGTAATGTCACAAGGCGATATTTAAATATACTGGCAAAATATTCCCTTCATAGTTATTGTTAAGAAGAAGATGTTTTATCTTTATAAATGACCTGATGTTTTACATAGTAATTAATTACTTTGTGTGTATTGAATCATGTAAAAATCCCCAGACATATTTGAATATAACAAGAAATATAACAACATCTTAACATTGTTTACAATTTCTGGCTTTTGAAATTTTGATATGCTTTGCTTAATGATTGACCACTGTATTTCAAATTAATATTTCTATGCTTTACATGTTTTATTGTAAATCATTTATATGAATTGTATATAGTTTAAAGTGACTTATAGGCCCAACTAACTAACTACCTAACTAACTAACTAACTAACTAACTAACTAACTAACTAACTAACTAACTAACTAACTAACTAGCTAACTAACTAACTTCCTTACTTACTTACTTACTTACTTACCTACTTACTTACTTACTAACATACTTACTTACTTACTTGCTTACTTATTTACTTACTTACTTACTAACTAACTAACTTACTAACTTAGTTACTTACTTACTAACTAACTAACTAACTAACTAACTAACTAACTAAGTGGGTCACAGCTGAAGTACGTAATTACAACGTAGTTACAATATAAAAACAGTTTAAATATACACCATATATACACAATGTATGAGGGGTTATCCAAAAATTCGTTGACTTTTTAAATATCTCTTGAACGTCAGCGTGTACTGTAATGAAGTTTCATCAGCATACCTTGTAGAATACCGTTTTAAAAGGAACAATTAAATGCGTCAATAGATAATGATTTTATATTGCTTTTGAATAAGCACATACACAGCACCCGGCGCATTGTAGAAAATTTCAGTTAGTCATCGTATATTTTTTGCTAAAAAATAATCATTTACGTAGAAAACCCGCTAAACATCGCATGTTTCTTCTAGGACGTCATTAAAGTATTAAAATTCTTTAAAATTATGGATGTTATGTCTTTTGATTTTTATTTGTTCGTGTCGTCAGACCAAACAAATAATGGTAGCGAAATTTCAGTCCCTGATGTGCTTATTTGCAAATAACGAAAGTAGTCCAAACTCCTCGAAGCGGTTACTTCCCTTGATATGTACACTAACACCGAAAAAATAAAGGAAAATCACTGCGTGACAGGCGCATTTATTTTCGTAAAGAAAAAATATTTCTTGATTGGTCGAAGATGTCTAATATTGTGTTATTCTTATAGATAAACATGTTTATATTAAGCTGTATGATTGTTTACATCAGTGTTAAACAACATGTTTACCATGAACAAAATATATCGAAATTAATAAGGTTACAAACCCTAATTTAGAATGATATGGTTTTCTTCATAGATCACGCAGTCAATTTACTATAGTTATAACACTGGAAACAGCATTGGTGACACTATACAAACAAATTGTTTTATAATCTCACAACCTTCACCTTTCTGACATTCTGAGACCCAAACAAATTCAGCGCCTTCTGTGCTTTGATTGTTGATATTGCCAGAAACGCCAGACGCCGATATTGTTTACAACGGGAAAATAACGAACACGCAGAAATTAGAAAATCGCGAAATCATAAAATTTTAATGTAATTTGGATATGATACCTACTAAAACACCACAAAAACAATCAGCAGGCGAACAGATAAAATAAAATTTCACGATTATTAGTGTTGTAAGTGGCATAAGAAAGTAAGTGATATACATTACTTTGAGAAGCAGGAACGGTCATTGACTGCGTAACATTGAAGCACAATTTGTACGTTATTATGACGTTGACGTCAAATTATTTTGGAGTGCGCCGCTGTCGCCGACATGTGTTTATGTTAAATCAAATATTGTTGTATATATGAAGTTACTTACATGATTTTTTCTATGTTAATTTGTTATTTATTCTTCTAAGAAGTGTTATAATTTCAAATCAATATCTCAAATTTATTTTAAGCAACAAAGAAAGTTCACGAATTTTTGGATAACCCCTCGTATATACACAGACGTCATAATGTGAGCCATGTTAATTAAAGTCATGTCATTAAAACTAGTGTAAAAGTACATAGAACTTTTTGCACTATGCTAGATGATTGTATAGCTACTGTTTGTCGATATTTTTGTTTGTGATATATAATTTATTACATTGTGTCAAAAATTAATTGTTTTTTCTATTTATACAGCACATGTCTTGGTATAAAACAAGTTACATCTGAAAGGTCTTATGATGAACAGAAACGTCGTCTAGCCATCGAAAGTATAAAAAGAAGTTATAACGTTAGAATAGATAATACTTTAATAAATAAAGACAACAAAGATCAAGATGAGTGTTTTATCACTAGTATGTGCATGCTTCCTAAAAATGAAGTTCTCCTTGCTGACCTCGGGAATGAAATACTGAAGAAATTGAACAGTTCATACAAGGAAATAAGCTACTGTGATGTACCTGAATATCCCTATTCTGTATGTTATATAGGCAATGATACAGCTGTAGCTAGTTTAGGAGGCAATACCATACAGTACGTGAATATATCAGGTAAGATAAGCCTAATACAATCAGTGACGCTAGATCATGAATGTTTCGGTCTAGCTTGTCACGGTGACACACTCTATGTTAGCAGTAGAGACACAATTTACAAATATGACAAAAACTGTAAACAAAAACAAGTTATCTATCATTATCCGAATAATATCTTCAGTCCCTCAATTGCTATAAGTGACAATGGTGAGCGAATCTACTTATGTAATGATACAGGTCTAACTACAATAGATGCCAAGGGAACTCATTTATTCAGTTCAAAATTTAAATATTATATCATTCGTGATATATGCATTGTTGTTGAAGGTATTGTTCTTGTATTAGATGAATCAAACAATCTTCATCAGTTGGATTATACAGGAAAAAAGCATCGGACTGTAGGTAGAATGCCATTAACTGCGCGTTCTATGTGTTTTGACAGAGAAAGATGTAGACTTATTTTTGGTGGTGATGAAGACGAGATAAATGTCTACAAATGCGAGTTTTTGCAAAGTTAGTTAATAAAATTGTTGTGGTAAACCAAGAACCAAATGAAAAATGCATCGCTAATCTACTTTTGTTTATTTTAATTTATAAGTTTGTAAGTTTACTTTATTTCTTCATCCAGCCATTACTTAATATTTTGATATCGCACTTATTTACCTTGAATGTATTTGTAATAAAGGTTGAATAGTTACGAGTTTGAAACTTTTTAAAATCCAAATCGAGACTATTAAACAACAAGACTGTCTTCGTTAAGGGCTTACGAATTAACTGATAATTGATTTATTCCGCATATATCAATTGTAACTAACATTCCGACAAATTGCTAATTGGGCGTCTACATTATGTCATATCTTAGAAACAGTTTTAAGGAAAAAAATGAATAATTGATAATTTATTGCTCATAAGAAAAACAAATTTTCATTACAAATTATCAACGGAAAATATACAACGAGACATTCATCGTAAAAAACTTCAGGATGAAATACTTCCCGGTGGGTACATAATCCTTCTCTGATCTTTCAAGCTTAAAATTGCTGCAAATTTGAATATTCGTTAAGGGAAAAATAAAGACCATCTGAAACTTGATTTTTGTTGTTGTTAGTGGTTGTGGTGGTTGTGTGCGTGCGCGAGCGCGCGAGTGAGCGTGTTTGCATGTGTGTGTGGTTTGAAATGTATTTTGTTTTACAGCAAGCACTTTGAATTTCAATTGATATAACTTATTATGCATATTAAGTTATAATTTAAACTCAATCAAATTAAAACCAAGAAACAAGTGATTGACTTATAAATCTTTATTTTTGGCGTAACTGGCTAAGAAACATCAGACCAAATGAATGATTATATGATAAATATAACTTAAACTGGAAATAAGACATAATACATGTTAAAAACATTAAGACTGGTGTAGTCCGAGCCAGTATGCTTCCTTCTTTCTTGGTATTGGCTTACGAGCCTAATCCCCATTAGAAGCATACTGACCATCTTAACCAGAAGGCATTGCTCTTCAATGTGAGAGGCGGGGATGGATGGTGGTGTAAAATTATTTTTCTAAATAGATGTGCGTGTGAACAAAGAGCGCTGTGGAAATCAAGAGGCTGCATACGTTTAAGCTGCTGATGCGGGTCCTACCTTGTTGATAAGGGAGCTAAATTTAGTCACTTGTATTAGAAACCGGATATAGGTCAAGTACTGACGATGTAAACATCAAATCGAAAGTAGAATTAATTTTGATCTATCTTGCATAAACCGCGTTTACTATGTAAACTTCAATTTAACTTAGGACAATCAAAATTGCATAGTAATACTGTTGAAATTAAGGAGAAATACATGTTTGCGCAAATACTACAATTATATCGGGGAAGAATAATAATATATTTACAAGGTATTACAATTTGTATCATGTTTGCATCATTTCTAAATAGCGAATTATGCGGTTTTATTAACCTGTTTATTGCATACTGATTATATCGGTCAATGCACACAATATATTAATCTTCGATATATTTTGGATAAGTTCCTTGAGATGTTGGCAGTAATGTGTGCTTTGATATGATTTGTGTCTATGAAAACAAAATACTCATCGTTATAGCGAAATAGGGAAAACAACGGATGCCCTACGTGTAGCATAGGTGCATGTTTTTTTTTTTTTTCGTTTTTTTAGGCTGTGTTTGCTTTTTTATGCTGTTCATTTTGTCTCAATATGTTTTTCCCTTATATTGGTAAAGTCTATACTCTTTTGAAATAGCATTATTTAGGAATTCATATTTAAAATTCATTCGGATTTGTCAATAAACATTACTTCAATACCGTGAAACATATTACAAATCGAGTCTTAAGTTGCTCCATATCCGTGTAGAAGCAATATATCCATTAAGATATTCTGCAGAAATAAAAGAGTATGTCTTAAACAACGGCAACAGTAGGGATCGACCTACACTCTTCTTATACATTAGACAATCACTTAACAAATTGTTCTATTTTACATGAGACGACGATGTATAGTTTAAGCTGGTGTGACTTTTCAAAACTTGAGTTATTTACTCCATATAAATTCTCGTAAACTACACGAAAAGAACCGAAGAGGATTGAAAATTCAAATGAGTGCTATAATGCATTTATAATTGCCTGGTCAATTATATCAGATTAGACATGTAGTTTAGGAATGTGATTATTTCAATCTATGCTACATGCTTATTTAGAGCATTTGATATAGTTGATGAAATCAATGTAAATGTCAATGTTAAAATATTGGCAAACGTATGTCGCAGGTGAAGAAAATTACCTCTACAATTCCTTATTTCAAGAATGCTTATAATCTGAATTGATGCAGAATGCTGTGACACTGTCAATTGCTGTTTGCAACATTATTTACCATAACACTGTTTTTTTCAACTTCTTTACCATTCATTTGTTGTTAAAAACGCTTTGCAATGGTGCATAAGTGTTTGACCAATAGGACCGATTAAACAAATTATTTAGACAAAAATAACATTGTACTGGAAACGTTAGGTTTTGAACCTAAAACAAAATCATTTCATAATTATTTATTAAGAGAATATAATTACATTGTATTTTGTTACATGTTATTATCTTCATATGTGACATTTTAACCCGAGCACAATAAACAAAAATGTCTTCATATTTATTTATAGTACGGAACAGTCCATTCTTATACTATATAAGTTAGTGAAATGTTGCACGTCTCGATTGCTGAAAATTGTAAGAGTGTTGATTTAATGTTGCAATCGCTCAATCGGTACAGCCGTAAGCTCTTAAGGAACCTCATTCATGGCAGAAAGCTACTGGGTTTCAAAACTGTTTTATGTTGTTGATTTTTCCTACAGTATTATTCATAATTATAAGAAACTACAGTATCATAATGAGTTTTTATTCAAACGAGTTTTTATCATTACATTTTTTATTATAAATGTATGAATATTACATTGAGATACATAAAGCCACTTTAATTAGATACTGATTACTGATACTGAATAAAACGTTCAAGTAGCATCCTATAATCATGTAATGAGAACATGACATAATATAGACCTTAAACTATGTTTAGAAATTGTCAACATATATAAATCGGTCCCAATATAGTAATTATGCAAGAGCTGGTGAAGCTCTATTAACAATTTTATTGACATTCATTTCTTTCTTTTTTTTTCAAAACTCGAGAGATAATATTACCTTTAGGCTCGGAATGACAATAAATGAGTGACAATATGAACATTGGGCAGATTAATCTGAAACTAGAAATGTGTCTATAGGGCACGGGCGCCCCCACCGCGCCACTGTTCTATCAATCTTATGACTCTAGGCCAAATATTTTTGAAAACTAAAAATCTTTTACTAAGTAAAGGGCAAGAACTTTACAAATACTGAATAAATCCACAAGCAAACCCCAAGGAGCATAAGTAAACATGCTGACCAACATTCTTGCAAACTTTCCGGCCTAATACTTTAATTTTAAGCTATGCATGAACAAGTTGAAAAGTGCAAATTTATATTACTGTAAGTAAAGGGCAATAACTCTAAAAAACTGCAAAAAAATCCACATGCAAAGTCCCAGGTGCATAGCTTCACAGTGATGTGAATCATTATTCCTGTATTTTAGTGATGTTGATCATTATTCCTGTCAAGTTGGTTGATTCTTACTCAAGCACTCAAGGAACAAATAACAACAAAATGAAACAGTTTTTACTAAGTCAAGGGAAATAATTCTACAAATACTGGATAAATCCACAAGCGAAACCCCAGGTGCAAAACTTAATATGCTGAGCAACTTTGCCGTAAGGTTTAATGACTCTATGTCAAATCCTTTTGGAGTTACATGCGATACAAGTTGAAAATTGCAAAAAAGTCAAGGGCAATGACTATAAAAATACTAAAAATATCCAGAAGAAAATACCAAGGTGCACAACAACACATGCTGATCAACATTCCTGTAAAGTTTCATGGCTCTATGTCAAATTCTTTTTGAGTTACGTGCGACACAAGTTGAAAATTGCAAAATTTTACTAAGTCAAGGGCAATAACTATAAAAATACTAAACATATCCAGACAAAAATACCCAGGTGCACAACTACACATGTTGATCAACATTCTTGTAAAGTGTCATGACTCTAGGTCAAATACTTTTTGAGTTACATGCGACACAATTTGAAAATTGCAAAATTTTACTAAGTCAAGGCCAATAACTCTAAAAATACTAAAAATATCAAGACGAAAATACCAATGTGCACAATTACACATACTGATCAACATTCCTGTAAAATTTCATGACTCTATGTCAAATACTTTTTGAGTTACATGCGACAAAAGTTGAAAATTGCAAAATTTTACTAAGTTAAGGGCAATAACTCTAAAAATACTAAAAATATCCAGACGACATTACCCAGGTGCACAACTACACATGCTGATCAACATTCCTGTAAAGTTTCATAACTCTAGGTCAAATACTTTTTGAGTTACGTGCGACACAAAAGTGAACGGACGGACAGACGGAAGGAAGGACGGACGGATGGACGGAAGGACGGACGGACAGACAAGGGCAAATCTAAATGCTGCCACTAAAGTAGGGGCAGAAAAACAAAATTGCTACGGGCTAAGTCAAAATGATTTCGAACTTGTTCCTAAATTATTGATTGAACATCACTGCTATTTCTGATTCGTGAAAGCAAAGTCCTGCATTATTTACATCGGTAATCGCTATTGACCCACCATTAGCGGTAGGTACATTACGGGGACACCAGCGAGGAGAGGTTACGGTAGAAACCGTAAGGTTACGGTAATAACCGTAACTCCGCCCTCTACATCCAACATGGCTACTGTAATAACAAAAAGCAACGATGAAGCTGAAAAAATGATTTTACAACTTGAAACTTAAAACAGTGGCCGATTTGTGGCAAGGAAAAATAAGAAGAATGGTGTAAGCTAGGCTACGGTAAATACTTTTGTTGCTTAGTTTATTTACTGCTTTTTATATATGTTAATTTCGCAGGACGATTCGTCCCAAAACTAAATGGCCCAAACTTTGCGCCAAAGACATTTCAGCCTTTTCTATGTTAAGCAATACGTGAATTGCCGACCAATGACAATGTTTTGTTTTTATAATATTCATGTGATTTAATTTGCTTTGTAAGATAAAATATGCTCTGATAGTATCATGTTTTGCTGATGTCTTTCAGAGCTCTGGACTGATCAGCTGATGCGCATATGATGAGGCTTTAGAAAAAAATGGAAGGAAATATCTAACCGTACAGCTAACCAAAAGTCCAAGCCATATGTAAGTCACTTACATGTATCTACCGTATATACCTACATTGGCAACCCACTATTACATACCATCTAGTCTTGAAATATCTAATTATAAATACCTACCTACACTTCTTGGCCACTATTACCTGCTATCTAGTCTTGAAATATATTATCAGATTGTTGTATGGCCCTATATAAACGGCTATTTGTAAATATAACCAGAGCCCCT